GTAAACCCAAAGCAGTTCTAGATAATAGATTAATAAGTTTTTTTAAAATGTAGTCAGACTGATCCTTATTTTTTCACTATTAATATGGAAATCCTGTCAATTATAAAACATAGTAGGATGTTCTTTTGATTGTCAAAGGAGGTAAGCTTAATTCAAGAGCGCTAACATTTTGTAACTTCTGTACTCACTGCTAATGGAGAAGAAAGAAGGTTAAGATCACAATTTTTCCTGCTATTTTACTTCAATCAGTAAGTGAGTCCTTATCATTTAGAAGATTTTGTAAGGCTAACTGTGTTTTGACCTTTGTTAGTTGTCATCATCAAATAATTTAGAAGTGTTTGTAACATCCCTGCAAGCAATTGCTTGCAAGTGGAACTTAAGAGAGATGACAGAAGGCAAAACGTGTTAAGTTTACCTTCTACTATTTCCTGAGTTTTCAGATGAAAGGATATTTTTGGCAAACAATAAAAAAGCCTCACAGATTCTTGTTTAAAAATAATAAAAATATTTAGTGAAGCAAAGCAACAGGCTTAAAAGTACAATCCACAGAACATTTTGCATGATTTAAAAAATACATTTTATTTACTGAAATAGCTAAAAAATAAAACAGCTACATAAAACCAAATAATATAAACTCTAATTTTTAAGCCATGGTTACTCTTGCTCTATCTTCATTTTCTATCTTGAAAAGCTCCACTTCATGGAAACCACTTGTTCTTTACTGGATAGGGCTGGACATTAATGTCCTCTATAACTAGCAATGTTAAGGGAACTAATGTTCCCTTATTTCTTGTTTTTCTTGAAGACACTAGTTTCTTTCATTCAGTAAATGTGTACTTAATGCCTAGTCACTCAGAGAGATATTCAGTCTTGCAAGAGATAAGGAAGGACTTTCAACACAGTTGTAAACTAGTAAAAATTGCTAGAAATGATAACTAATCAAGTTTATAACTAACTGGGTTAGAGGTAGTAATGGGGAAGGAGGATTGGGTACAAGGGAGAATTTTCTTCATATATTAGGTGCAGAGACATGAAAAAATAAAAGGTGGAGGGTTCATCTCTCTACCAAACCTAGAGAGGTTTTTTTCTCATTGTTCTCTCTAAATTCCAATCAGTGTTTAACTTTATCAGGAAAGATCTCACAGTGCCATTAAACAAGTGATTAGCATCTGAGAGTGAGATTTCTAAACAATAATATAAAGGTGAGTGATGTTTATATTCTTTCCTTAGCTGTCATCTGTTTTTGATTTCTAGGACCGCTTAAGAGTTAAAGGCAAAAATTTGAAATGGAATGTTTTCCAATTGGCTTGTTAAAACACAAGGAGATACTACAAAGTCTGCTTTGACAAGATTCAGCAACTAACTGAGGTCTCTTGATTCAGAATCCTTGCTCCCTTCATGCTTCCTCCTTGTCATTTTCTTCTCTCCTCTCATTCCTCCAGCAAGTTTATTCTTTTGAATTTAAACCTCATCCATTTTATTATTCATCAATCAGTGAGTAAGGGACTCTCCCTTTCCAAGTTCTCTTGTGTTATACTCCAAACACTGCTCCTCATCTTCCTTTTCACTTGTTTTCCACCCCTTTCCCAAACCGATTACTACTAGCAAATATAGCAATTTAATTATGAGCCAAGAATGAAAAATAATACCACAGGGTCTCTAGATCTCTGTATGAACGATTGTGTAGCTAAATGCACTCACATGTATGTGTCTATCTCTGTATCACTTTATTGCATCATGGCTTTCAGAAAGCCAAGCCCCATGGATTAGTCTCCTCCTACTTCTAGCATTAAGAATAAAAGCTCCAAGAAACACTCCAAATGCAGATGTGGTTCTCATATTTTTTGCAGGTTAAAATCTGAGTGAAGATTTGAGGAAAACTATACTACATCACCCAATTTCTTTCACAGGATCAACTGCACAGGTAGTATTTTTATTATTATTATTAATATTAATATTTCAATTTCAGCTATTGGAAATAAATAATGCAAATTGCATATCACAAAACTGTTAAAAAAGGAAATATAGAGGATAAAGTATCATACTTTATTAACTTAATGTAAAGTATTTAAAGTTTTAAAATCATATGTCAACATCTTGCATTTATAGTGTTTTGCTATTTAAAGTGTTTCAACATAAAACTACAGTGTCATAATCACCCTGTAAGTCCTGCAAGGTGGACATGTGCTCTATTTTATTGATGAGGAAACAAAGCAAGAGGGTAGAAATAGCTAGAGTGGAAAATGACTTTTTTTCTTTTTTTTTAATTTTTTTTAAAGATTTATTTATTTATTCAAGCACTGGGTACAGTCAAAAGCGGGGAAGGTTGAGAGAATTCACCAGAGCCAGAGCGGGGAGCAGAACAGACAGACTGATGAAATACACTGCTGAGGGGAGCAGCAGGCGGCAGGAGAGGTCTGACATGCCATGTGGGACCCTCGCCTGGCAGCCGGGGATCAAACTGGCGCTGCAGAGGCTGCAGGCAGCTTCGCAGCGCAGTGCTCAACCTCTGTGCCACCGGGTGTTTACTACTGTGAAATAGGTCAGAAGTCTGTTACTACCAGGGGTCTTGCAAATATTGCTACTTTAAGTGAGAGACATCAGATACATACAACAGAAATCCATGTATCTGCTGTACCACTGACACGCAAATCATTAGCAGTATAATAGTTATTTAGTCTAGGAGTCCTTCATACAAGCTAGAGATACCAGAGAGATTTGTTCTAACAATTAAATTTACGGAATATCTTTGAGTACCTACCATGATGTAGTGTTGAGACTTGCAATAGAATGAGGTATAAAAGCAAGGTATTCCTTGCTATCAATCACTTTACCCAAATGCAGGCAAGTCTGAAATGACGAGGACTAAGTAAGCACCGTGCATTCATACTCATCATCCTAGCATTTAACACTGTTCCTGGGAAGGAGATAGGTACTCCCACAGTATTGCTGGATGAAAGGCAAATTTGGGGATATGAGAGAAGAGGATAGGAAAAGGGAAAAAGAAAAAAGAGGAAGGAAAGGTGAAACAAAAAAGAAAAAATAGTCTGGATTCAATTCAACAGATGAATCACAGTTTTAACTATTTTGTTGGTGTTTCTGGATAGCAGGAACCTAGTACTCAGTTATAATGAAACTGAAAAATTCCAATGGAAATATTTCTTTTGAAGAAAAGGAGAGCAACTACAGGGTGATTCCAAGTATTTTGATATGAAATAACTTGCCAAGAGAAGTTGAAAAACAAAGAAGCTTTATCATATTGCAATTAGTTTACTGAGACCAAAATTGACCATTGATAATGGAGGGACTTCCAGAAGCTTGCTAACTGTCTAATTGTAAATCAATTGTTCCCATATGACTGTCAGCAAGTTTTGGCAAGCTTGGCAGGACACCAAGAAAGTTGTTCAAATAAATAAGAAAATCAATAGGCTGAACAAGTAGTAACTTTCATGACATTTTTCTAGTGAGAGATCTATTATCTCAGAGTGAGCTGACGGTTTTGGGAGCAAACTGACTTCTTATCAAAATGTCATAATTTGGATAAGATTACATCTGCCATACCTGACAGGGAAATTTTGAAAGAACTGAGTTTGCCTTGAAGGACTGGGATTCTTTTCCTTTTAAATAATCCATAGTTAATACTGTTCTGTGGTTTCTAAAGCCCTTCTCTGGTTAAAAATAAATAAATAAAAGTAAAATTATTTCATTGTGCCTCTCTGTCAATGTGCAATCTGAGACCAAAACGAAATGAATGTCACACCGGTTGGGCTAGAGAACTTTAGTGATGCAAAAAATGGGGAAAAAAATCACACTAGACATTTTCAGATTATTAACTATAAGTTTCTCCAGATAATTATGTTTGTGAAATACATTCTAGGGGATTTTTGACAGAAAATATTTGTACTGCTTTGAACAGAGATATTTGCATGTAATGTATACTGTTACTATGATTGAAGAGTGTCCGATTTCTCTATATTATCATATGGACTTGGAATAAGAGTAATATAAAATCATACAAATTAAGTATTTATAATTGAATAGACTTTTTTTAAGATTTATTTTATTTATGCAAGAGCTGGGGTACAGGTCAGAGGCACCAGAGGGTGAGCGAATTCACCAGAGACAGAGCAGGGAGCAGAACAGGTAGACTGATTGAAGACACTGCTGAGGGGAGCAACGGGTGAGGCAGGAGAGGTCAGCTGTGCCATGTGGGTTTCTCCCTGGCCGGCCGGGAATTGAACCTGCGCTGCAGGGGCTGCAGACAGCTTCTCAGTGCAGCACTCTACCAGCTGTGCCACTGGGGAGGCCCTGAATAGACTTTTTAATGCTCAATAACTACTTTACTAATCAAATGAGTGAGAAAAGTACAGGTAACAACAGACATCACAGAGGAATCTTCTGTATCCTCAAGAACCTGTGGCTTAGATTTATCTATTCCAATGTCATTAATTTCATCTTTTAAATCTACTTACCAAGCATTTAAATTCATTGAATGAAACATATTCAGTAACTAAAGAAACTCTGACTTTGATATCTGGCAATAGGTAGCAAACATTGCTATTGACCTTTATAGTTATTTAATATATCATAAATAAGCAAACTGGTTATTTGCCAAAATACTATATTTCAAAACTTCCTAGTTTTTTTTGTATGCCTGATAAATTTTGACATAAAAATTGAAGACTTTGTTGTTTTCCTTCATCATGAAACTTATTATATATTAATATGGTAATATAAATGTTTTACACATTTTTGCAAAGTTTTGAACAATTTACTTTGTAGTTATTTATACTCTTATACTTTTATAGGTTAGATTTATCTCCTTAATAGGGTTAGAAACTCTTAGTGCATCACGATTTGTTATACACTTCTTTTCTATGATTTTATTCTATTTACATAACACCTAAGAGAAGCTCAATATACAGAGCTGTTATTAATGTTAAAACATTTTAAAGTACACACAAAGTGGAAAATATGTTTTTTTTCAGTGTGCCACTCTAATGGATTCTTCCAAGTTTGATTATGGTGAAAACTTTGGCAGAATTCAGGGAATTCTAATATATAAAGACTTTCTAAAATATTGGGATGATGTGGAGACATTCCAAGCAAGGCCAGATGACCTTGTCATTGCTACGTATCCCAAATCCGGTAAGTCTCCTTGTTAACTCAGAGCTGCTTTTCACCTAGAAATGACATACTCACTTTGAAGGTAAATATTAAACTGTTCACTTTTTCTATACTCTTTATCCATATTAAATAATGACTGATGTAGTAATTTTGATAAAGATATAGAAAAATGGGGTACTATACCTCTATTATGAGATTGTCATATGTACCTATAATTTAAATAGCATATTGACCCTGTGGACAATTTAAAAAATTATGTAGCATAGATAGATAAAGAAATACAACTAAAATTTAAAATGAATAACTGTGTTTACCTTACATCATTATTGTCTTTATTGTAAGTAAAAGCAATTTTCACAGATTTAACAACAATCTATTTTTTAGTTAACCAGATCTTCTATATTAATTTAATCACCAAACTCTAATTTTAAAGTAACCTCTTTCCCTGAGATGAGCTCAACTTATTAATCATAGTTATGAAGACTTACAATAATAGATATTTAGAAAGGTCTGATCCAGACTTGTCTATCTGGTTATTCCACTTAGCACTTAAATATGTAAAATACTAACTATATTTTTAAATACACTAACTCTAACACTGTTTTTCACCTTCTCTTCACTGTCTGGATGAATGTCAACATGATACCAGTCATATGAAGAAGAAACCAGAGAGCTTGTCGACATTCACTTCCTCTTGCTTCTTCATCTCCCATATCCAATCAATGAAAAGTTTGTCTCACAGTCAGTCTTCATGGGTCTCTTGATTTCCCTTCATATTGATCTCCCACTCCATTCTTTTCTTTCTGCTGTCACTGGAGGAATTCTTCCAAAACACAACTCTGATCATCTTAGTGTCTTGCTTAATATATGTAAATATATTCCCCCAAATTTTAATATTCTTTTTAGTGTACACTACAAGATATTTAATACACCCAAAATTTCATCCATAGTTTGTATCATCTACCCATTTTCTTTAGATAGACTTTTAATTTGGGCTTATGATAAATTTCTAGTTATTTTCTTCACTATACTATTAAATATGTGACCTTTGATAAAACAAAATTGACAGTTCCTCTGCCAGCTAGAACACTTTCATACCTTACACAACTAGTGAATATATGCTAATAATTTGTTAAGGTTAAGATTATTATCATGTCCTCTTGAAGGTTTTTTGTTATTGAAACATCACAGTAACAGCAGCACCTTAGTTAAATGTTCCCGTTTTACAATTCTTTATTATTATTATTTTTTAAAGATTTATTTATTTATACAAGAACCTGGGTACAGGCCAGATGTGGGGGAGGGTGAGAGGATTCACCAGAGACAGAGCGGGGAACAGAACAGGCAGACTGATGAAACACACTGCCGAGGAGAGCAGTGGGCAAGACAGGAGAGGTCTGCTGTGACATGTGGGTTGCTCCACAGCAGGCAGGGATTGAACTGCAGAGGCTGCGAACAGCCTCACAGCACTGTGCTCAACCACCTGCACCACCAGGGAGGTCTAATTCTTTAAATTCTTATGACTACTTATAACCTTAAGAAAAATAAATGTTATAATTATGTAACATTGTTTCTTATTAAGGGTCTTTGCCCATTGTAGGGGGAGGTCCAAATTTATTATTTTCTATGTCTTCTGAACTGGTACACAACTTGAGGTATAAGAAAGTTTTTAGTAAAGTTTGTGGTTGAAAGCATGCTTGAATGGATTATCAAGACTCCTTATTTTTTAGATGTAAGATCAACATTTATATTTATATATTAAATTTAAGTCCAATTTAGATCCAAAATTTTGTGAACCTGTAAAATGTCACAAATTTTAAAAATACATGAACATTTTAAATTAATTTCACTGAGATAACATGACTAATAATACTGTATATGATTTAGGGCAATAGGCTCAAACCTATTCAGATCTGTGTTACCATGCCACCAAAATATCCAGAGTCCTCCATTGGGTCCCATAATCATGGAAAAATTTGGATTCTAATCATAGTTGTGTCATACTACAATTACTATCTTTATTTACTTAGTATATTTTAGGGTACTATGAGATTAAAAACTAGAAGACATATTACTTGAGTTCAGTGGCTATTTTGAAGCCTTTCAAATAATACTACATTAGTACCCTCCCACACTCCTGTGATCAGCCCTGCATGGTCAGTGGGAGACTTGGCTTTGTTTAATTTTTACAGGTACAACTTGGATTAGTGAAATTGTAGACATGATCTATAAAGAGGGTGATGTGGAAAAGTGCAAAGATGCCATTTTTAATCGAGTACCTTACCTGGAATGCAGAAAAGATGATATGCTAAATGGTAACGTTAAAGTTGATTTTTAAAACTATATACATATATTTTAAGTTGTAGATATAGATGGTGCAGGAAAAAAGGATTGTAAGCAAGGGTAGTATGGATATTATGTCATCTACATAGAAAGCATGTAAATGGAAATTTAAGCTTGTCAGAATTGATGCTATAGCAGGGATCTGTAATAGGGTCATTAGGGATAACTGATGAGTCTCCAGCATAGCTAGGAATATGTGAGCATTTATCTTTCTGTTGACTGAATGTGATAATATTTTAATCATTAGGTAAATATTCATAAATTTTTCAAGGATATGTGCAAAAATATACAAATACTTCTGATGTTATGAAAAATTAGAAACAGCATGTTAGTCAACAAAATATTAAGTGACATTAACACTGTGAAATCAATAAAAATTTTAGAAAGCCATTTGTTTCTTGATATTGCAGTTTCAATATGCTATATTTAGAAAAAAGGTAATTATGAGATAATAAAAATCACATCTGTGTATGGATGACTGAGTTTAAACATATAGATATATTTATATGAAAGGTTACTTAACAAAATGTTAGCAGTGATTTTTCCAAAGTGGTGAAATTTATTTTTATCTCATTTTGCTCTATAATTTCAGCTATCTAAACTTCTTTTGAGCATTTATTATTACAGTACAATTTAAAATCTTAAAGTTATTTCTGTTTTAAAATATCTATAAAATCCAAATAAACATTTATTGTTTTGAAATTGTCTAACCTTTAATTTTTTAAAAATCAGGAGTAAAACAATTAAATCAGATGGCATCTCCTAGGATAGTGAAGACTCATTTGTTACCTGAACTTCTTCCAGTATCATTTTGGGAAAAGAACTGTAAGGTAATAAAACTCAGCTATTCTTAGAAATTCATCTAACTCAAAGATTTTAGAATGATCAAGTCAGTAACATCTGTCCAGCAACATTTACTCCGTCTCAGGTCCTTCTGATTCTGTTTAGATTCTTCAGTAATAAATTAGGGATAATAAACTATTGGTCAATTTATATCAATGGAACTTGTGATACTACAATAAGATGTTGTATGTGAAAATGACATAAAAATGAAAAGTGAAAAATAGCATTACAATGAACAACACTAAAAAAGATGCTGCTCCTTCAGATTATTAAAGGAGTTTTCTTATAATTTTACATATTTTTTTGCAATGTTATGCATTATGGTTATATTTGAAAACATACAGGCTTTATTTTTAAATTTTGATGAGATTGTGTTTGAAAAAATTCTGCCATTTAATATATGATTTTGTCCTGTTAGATGATCTATATTTGCCGGAATGCCAAGGATGTGGCTGTCTCTTATTATTACTTCTTTCTAATGGTACCCGTTCATCCAAATCCTGGAACTTTTTCAGAATTTGTGGAGAAATTTATGGAAGGCCATGGTAAGAAGAGCTTCTTTACTTTGAAATCTTGAGGTAAATAATACAAAACAAATGGCATCTCTGAGCAAAATTTTCTGTTCGGTTATCTTCCTTGATCCTTAGTTAAGCACAGGAGTTAGAGAAGCCTTTGAATTAGACAGCAAGCATACAGCAGGGTTCCAGATGTAGACACAAAAGGACAGCATCTGGACATTGCAGTTCAATGCCTCAAAACAAGCAGAAGAGTGTTGGAGGACTGGAGATCACATGTTTTGTTTTCTCTCTCTCTCTAAGACTGAGATTCGGTGTCCAATTCTCTTTCTTGTATCTTTTTGTTTGAAAACTATTTCACAGAATATCATTACAGCTCCTTGAATTAAGCAAAATGGAATAGAAAAGAGAGAATACCTATTTGTTTCCAAAGGAAATTTTGGGTCAGAATTCACAAAGACATTCAAATATCTACAAAATTCTTACTCATTCTAACTACTACACAGTTTGACTGTTTGAAATAAATTTATCATAGCCATAGAAGATAGTGAGCAGAAATTTGGGGAAGTTTTGCCTTTTTATTTAACTCCAGAATAAAACTGAGTAAATAGATTTGAGGGAGAAAGTATTTGGGAAAGACGCATATCAAGCAAAGAAGGCCATTATGACCCTATAATAATAATTGTAAAGATAAATGATTGACTCAACAAAAGTAGGCCACATGTGCTGCTTGTTCCACACTTTGAAAACAATTTTGCTAAAACATGGCCTACAACATAAGCCTCAAGTTGACTAAGACCCTCATTATAAGGCAGTGAAAGATAATGTTGTACCACTACAAAAGGATTAATTAAGATCACTATATAACATTATATATAACTCATTATATAATTATATAGCATTCTCTATAAAGAAAAATGCCAGATAGAGTTGAAGCCAGAAAATGTATGTAGTGACTTAATACAAAGCAGAATATTTTAACTCATCATTACTTTATTCTGTCAGCTTTTTATTGGGTGAAACACATGTATATGTATGAAAGAAGATAAAGAAAGATAAAGGAAAGACAACATTTGTTTATATCACATCAGTCCCCAAATCTCAAAGTGTTGTAGAATGAGAATAACAACAAAGGTTTCTAAGAAATCACCACTTATCATCTAAACTGCAAGTAAAATTATACAAATTACATAAAGTTATATATATATATAAATTATATACATGAAATTGTATTTTAAAAGTATATAATTACTAGCTTCAGTTGGCAAATCTAGTTTATAAATAGTAAATTTGAGACCTGTACTGAATTCTGATTATTAAGAATGTTGATAGTTCCACTATCTTACTTCCTTTTACTGGACACACACACACACATACACAGACACAAACCAGTTTAAAAAATTCTCTCATAAGTTCTGAATCAAATTTATGGGAGGGATACTTCAGTATTCTCTGTATCATAAACCATGTCCTACCATTAAAATTGAGAATATTTCTTTATGTAGATTATTCAACATAGTTTGCCTTTCTTGCTGCAGAGAAATTTGCATAAGAAGTGCAGCTGAACTCTAATTTTTATTCCACAATCATTTGTTTGTATTTATATGTTGCTACTATTGTTTGAACACTTATTTTCAAGTTGTATAAAGATGATACTATGTCCTTATATTGTTTTTATCTCTAATTTTAGTTCCTTATGGTTCCTGGTATAAACATACACAATCTTGGTGGGAAAAGAGAAATAATTCACAATTGCTTTTTCTCTTCTATGAAGACATGAAAGAGGTGAGAAACTGGAAACGTATGTCAACTTATTCCATTATAAAATGTTAGCATTTGAGAGTTCTTTAATATAAAAATTTGCCTCCAAAAGCTACAACAATCAGCACAGATTTTAAAAATGATCTAAAAAATGAAAATCTTCTCTAAATCAATACATTAAAACCCAAATCTCAAATAATTAGTAAAGGTAAAACTTGAAAGAATATGAGTTCATATCACAAAACAAAACAACACATCCACACATATACAAGAAGGATCAACTGGCCTCCAAATATATAAATATTGAAATAATTGACAAGGACTAAATATTAATGATACTTAATTTTTTAAAGAACTAATGGAAGACATTAGTTATTTCACAAAATTATTAGAGGTTGTTAAAACTAACAAGCCAGAGATGAAAAAAAGCAAAAATAAATTATTATTTCTAAAATAATAAAAATTAGAAAGTTAAGACATTTTAAATTATAGCTACAACATGATTAAATAGTGAAATAGTGAAGTAGAAGATAGAGCAGAGGGAATTACATTAAATGTACAACTGTGAGATAAATAGAATACTTGCAAAATACTCTATCCTTGTAAGATAGAGTGATCAGTTCCTACAATTCAACTCAAATGTCCAGAAGAAAAAAAAGAGTAAAGAGAATAGTGGAACAGTAATATGCAAATGTATGGTGACTTTGAAATAGCCTCAGAATTTATTTTTTTCTCTAACTTCTTTAGTAAACAGTGTAATTCAAAACAGAAATCAGGGCTTCCCTGGTGGCATAGGGGTTAAATGCAGCACTATCAAGCTATTACCAGTCTCTACAGCAAGTTTGATCCCAACCCTGGCAGGGAGCAACCCACATGGCCCAGCAGACCTCTCCTGCCTCGCAAGCTGCTCCTCTCAGCAGTTTTTCAGTAGATCTGCCTGTTCTGCTCCTCAATCTCTGGTGAATCCTCTCACCCCTCACACCTCTGGCTTATACCCCAGTTCTTATATGCATAAATAAATAAATCTTAAAAACAAAACAAAACAAAAATCACTATGAGATGCCATTCCACACCCACTTGACTAACAACAATTAAAAAGTCTTACATTGGGCCTCCCCGGTGGCGCAGCGGTTGAGCGCTGGGTTGCGAAGCTGCCCGCGGCCTCTGAGGCGCCAGTTCGATCCCCGGCTGCTCCCCGGCCACCGGAGGAGGGTCCCACATGGCGCGCAGACCTCTCCTGCCGCCCGCTGCTCCCCTCAGCAGTGTGCTTCGGTCCCTCTGCCTGCTCTGCTCCCCGCTCTGGCTCTGGTGAATTCTCTCACCCTCCCGCGCTTCTGACTGTACCCAGTACATGTATAAAAAGAAAGAAAGAAAGAAAGAAAGAAAGAAAGAAAGAAAGAAAGAAAGAAAGAAAGAAGAAAGAAAGAAAGAAAGAAAGAAAGATAAAGAAAGAAAGAAAGAAAGAAAGAAAGAAAGAAAGAAAGAAAGAAAGAAAGAAAGAAAGAAAGAAAGAAAGAAAGAAAGAAAGAAAGAAAGAAAGAAAGAAAGAAAGAAAGAAAGAAAGAAAGAAAGAAAGAAAGAAAGAAAGAAAGAAAGAAAGAAAGAAAGAAAGAAAGAAAGAAAGAAAGAAAGAAAGAAAGAAAACATGCCTCTATATAAAAAAAAAAAAAAGTCTTACATTAACAAATGTCATTCTGGTTGTGGGTTAATGAGAAATCACACAGTATTGATTGGAATGTAAACAGATACAAACACTATGGAAACAACTTGTTATCTAAAAAGAATAAACATATACATAACTTAAGACCCAGAAAACCACTAGTGGGTAATACATATTCATGAAAATTCTGGATTCTGTACATTGGGTAATATTTTTTGAGCATGAACTGTACATCAAAGACAGAAATAGGGTCTCCCCTGGTGGCGCAGCAGTTGAGCACTGGGTTGCGAGGCTGCCTGCAGCCTGTGCAGCACCAGTTCGATCCCGGCCACCGGCAAGGGTCCATTACCTAATTTATTGTTCTAACGATCTTTGAAGTATCTTTATATATATATAAGAGATTTATATATATATATATATATATCTGGGATATATATATATATATATGGGATATATATATATATCTCCTTTTTTGGTGAGGAAAATTATGTTTAGAGAAGTTAAGAACATACCTCTTCCCCAAGAGGTATTTTTCCTAGATAGAAGTCTAATTCCAGTATCACTGGGAAAAAGGGTTTTATTTCTTTTTCTCTTTTTAAAAATCAAAATAACAACTTATTCAATTTTAGCCATTGAGACCTAAAAATATTTTTTTTCTCCCTAGGATGTTAGAAAAGAGGTGATAAAATTGATAAAATTTCTTGGAAAGACACCATCAGAGACACTGGTGGACAAGATTATACAACATACAACATTCCAGGAGATGAAGAAGAACCCATTTACTAATTACACATTACTACCAGGAGAATTATTCAATCAAAAAGTGCATTCCTTCATGAGAAAGGGTGAGAACGTTATTTACCTCTGTTGCTATAAGAAGTCATAAGTTGAAAGTAGATGGTCATAGGGAAATATCTATCGAGGTCTATTCATGCTTGTAGACCCAGCGTACCTGCTCGAAAGGTGCTTCACATTTGAGCACTCTTTTTATTGAGTGATTATTCTGCACAAGCATAAAACACTACTACTACTACTACTACTACTACTACTACTACTACTATTAAATTTCTATTTCTTGGTGGTTATTTTATATATGCAACATATTATATTAAGAATATCCATAGACACAGCAGCAGGAGAATCAGCATTAACATCACATGTTACTAGCTATCATTTACCTAGCCTATATGCCTTGGTGCTGTCTCATGAACATCATATATAAATGCATATAATATATATAAATGCATATTTAAATTCTAACCAAAAGCTAGGAGAAAACTTCTATTTCTGTCTCATTTTGAGGTGAAGAAACAAACTTAGAAAAATTAAACATCTTTTTATTGGCCAGGTGGCAAACATTTTTCAAGACTGAAAGGTAAATATCCAAACTCATCAGATTGTATGCATTAAATATGTTCAGTTCTTTGTATATCAATTGTGCTTCAACAAACCTGTTTTTTTAAAAAAAAACACAACTATGCGGCAAAGTAGGAAATCAAATAAAAATGTTTAGAAAAAAAAATCAAAATACAATGACATGAAATGTTGGTAGGATGAGGTTTGGCCTGATGAGATATAATCAGTTTATAAGTCCAAAGGCATTTAGAATATGCAGAGTAATGAGACATCTGGTCTTACTGATAGTTGAGGTAAAATCTGTGGTTTTTTCAGCAATGGAATAAAGTAAGGATCAGGGAATTTTTTAAGTAATAGGAATAACTATCTTGCCATTTGGCAAAAAGTGGGATCCTATGTAAAGAGGCTTAACATACAGATTATATTTTGATTATTTCTTCCTAAATTTTCTCAGTATCCTTTTTCAGTATAATCACGTATATTTTTGAAGAAAACAAAACACTGAGTTTATAATAATTACCATGCTTATTAAGGGCTGTTTATTGTTACTCTCGCTGACCCTACCCAATTCTCACTCAAACACTTTCCTGCTTATTTCTTTGGCTTTTCAGGACATTGCACTGGGACAGTTTAGCACTCTTTGAACTAGGGGCAAATGAATTATTAACTAATTTAAAATACAAGGATGATGTCCTTCTGTCAGAGAAAGGAAAAGAGAGGGTCTGCTGAGTTCTTGTAATAACCCAGGTGGGAAATGCTGAGGAACTTCGCCAGTAGTGGTAACTGCAGTGTGATGAGTCAATGGATATGTGAAAGCCTGATTATGAATAAAAATCTAAACATTGTGGTTGAGTGACAGCTTCCAAGCTTATACCTTGGAGAGTAAGTTTTGCCATTAACCAGATTATGGAAAAATACGGTGAAATAAATAGTACAATGAAAACTTTAAAATATAGAAATCAAAGCCATTTTACATAAAGTGGAAGAAAATCTGGAAGGAAATAGCAGCTTACAGTTACTTTGTTTTGTTTTCTAAAAAAATATGTGTATATTAGATAGAAAATGAATTTATTTTTGAACTAGTTGAACTTTAGACATTTCTCTGGAATCCCAGGGGCAATATCATGCTGCAGTAGAACACTAAGATAAGTCTTGATTTGAGTGTTATCAGCTTCAGATGATATTTCATATTTTGGAAACAAGTGAAACATGGATCTTATTTCAGGAACTACAACATTTGAGAAGAAATTGAAAAAAACCAGGTTAAGCAGCTTAAGAGGGAAGAGTCAGAGAGCAAAATTTCCTGTTTTTTTTTTTTAAAGTTCTTTGCAAGTTCAAATATAAGATTATGTTATACATATGGTACATTTTTTACATCTATATCATATATGATATGTATTTATTCCTACCATTGAGAATCACAAGAATACTACCATTGAGAATCACAAGTATTAGGTGTTAATGATAAATATTAGCAAACTGTAACTTTGTTTTGAAGACATAATATTTATTACTTTTTTTTTTGTTACAGGGATTTCGGGAGACTGGAAGAATCACTTTACAGTAGCCCTAAATGAGAAGTTTGATGTGCACTATGAACAGCAAATGAAGGGGTCTACATTGAAATTAAGAACTGAGATCTAAGAAGGTTCCCTATACACATCTGAGATTTGTTCAGTCGTCACTTTTCTTACTTGAAGATTTGTAGAAAGAGTCAGGTGAAGGATCACACACATTCATATGATATTGAGATCTGTGTATTAAAAAAAAGCAAAAGGAATTTTTCCCTATCATCTTTTTAATTTTGCTCCCCTTTTCCTTGATTTGTTAAAAAAAATTACACAAAACTAATCAATAAGAATAATGTAAGACACACATAAGTTCGAGTTGTCAGGGTTTATTAAAAATAACCAAGCATAGCAAATTCTTGAATTTTGTGATTGCTTTTTAAATAGCACATTTAGTATATACACATATATCTTATGCATACAAATGGAGAAAGAACTAAAAATACATCCATTTGGGGGCATAATTTTACCTGTTATTTTCTTCTGATTTTCTTATACCTTATGTAAAATGACTTAATTTGTAATTTCCCTTAATCTAAAGTAAATTTTTGGCCATAATGGCCATAATGGCACCTGATTTCCAGGTGCTTAGAAATAATCTCAATGATTATTTATGCAGCTTGAATATCTTCAGCTAATTTGAAATATGTATGCTTTTATGTCCTATAAGCAATAAAATGAACATAAAGTTTACAAATTAAAGTTTTATTATTTATTTATTTATTAAGATTATTTATTTATATGAGCACTGGGTACAGTCAGAAGTGCAGGAGGGTGAGAGAATTCACCAGAGCCAGAGCAGGGAGCAGAATAGGCAGAAGGACCGAAGTACACCGCTGAGGGGAGCAGCGGGCGGCAGGAGAGGTCTGCGTGCCATGTGGGACACTCACCCAGTGGCTGGGGATCGATCTAGTGCTGCAGAGGCTGCTGGTGGCTTCGCAGCCCAGCGCTCAACTGCTGTGCCACTGGGGAGGCCCCAAATTAAAGTTTTAATTATTTTTTTATTCATTTTTAATAAATTCATTTAATAAATTTTTAATTCATTTTTTTATTGATGCACCATTGGATTACAAAACTGTGTATGATTTAGAACTATAGGATCACACCCTTAAGTGTACATTACCACACCACACCCACCACCAAAGCCCTGATAATCTCCCAGCTAATCTCCCAGCGTAGTCTATTGCATCCTCCTCCCACTTTGTCCTTCTCTCTTTCCCTCCCCATTTTGGAAAGAATGTGATATTTGCTATCAAAACAAGGTAAAACAAAATCGGACAGAACTTTTTTTTTTTTAATTTAAAATTGCTTTGGCTAATGTTTCCTACAGTATTTGTTTTTTCCTGACTTTTCTCAGTATTACAGTGATCATAAATCAATGCTTCCTTTCTCTAAATCAGAAGACGCACAAGATCACAAAATATATTTTTAAAAGTTGTGTTATTTTATTCTGAGGTAACTTTGGTTTACGACCATGTCATGATGTCAGGGTATAGGTTCATATCTCTTCAAATGTATGTTAACATATCACACCTACCACTAAAGCACTCATAATTCATCACAGGCGTTGGTCTCTGGCCCCTTCATGTCCCACCCTTAAGGTGCCCCCGTGTGGTAGCCTCAATTCTACCCCTAAATTTCAAGGGTTTGTTTTTTGTTGTTAGTTATTGTTGCCTTTTCCTTTGTTTTATTTCTTTCTGAAAAGAGAGGTCTGCTGCTCCATGTGGGTAAACTTCCTGGCTGACTAGGGAATCGAACTCTTGCCGCTGTAGCTGGTGATAGCTTGATAGCGCTGTGTCTTTAACCCCTGTGCCAGGGAGGCTGGAAAAGATAAGATCTTATTGTTTAACCCACTTAATTGTTGGTAGCCCCAGCAAACTCACGGACATCATATTTCACTTTCTTCCTAGAATGGGAAAGCCATGGGTAAATAGGAAGGCATGAGAACTATAAAGTGGTTATGGTAACAATATCTATTTCAGAGTGTTATTAAAACAAACAAATAAGTTAAAGCACATGCCATGTGCCTAGTAAAGTGCCCGGGACATAGTACTCAATACATCTTCCCTGTTCTTACCATTCTTTTCTCCTTGAGCAAACAGCATTCTTGAAAGCAAAATCAGAAGATGTTACATGCATTGATATTGTAATGATCTTGACTGATCCAGATGGTATATGCATTGATACTGTAATTATCTTGACTGATGGAAAAATGGGACCAATTATTGTAGAGGGATTAAGTTATGGATTGATATAAGTTATCAATAAAATCTACCACTTTTTTAAGAAGACAAACAAACAAGCAAGGGCAGATAAAAACATGGCCTTGGAGAGATGCTACCTAAATCAAAATGACAGATAGTTCTAATAAGATGCCTCTGAGAAGTGGCATAAATATGGGCACCAAAGATGAGCCAATTGTCATGTCAATGGACTCCATGTTGGTGGCCATGGTCCTGAAGTCTTCTCCTGTGTTTGACGAGGCACCAGAGACTCTTGCCCAGAGAAGTGATGTCCATTCCTCTTATTTGCAGATGCATGGACTCCTGGAACTCGGGCTGCATCCTGCCCACTCGGTATTGCCAGTCTCCTGAACTGTATGAAAAGGTTCTTTGCTAAGGGGCTTATTACTTTCCTCTCCTTTTACACATTTGTTCTATTTTCTTTAGTCCTTAAATTTGAACTAGGTTTTTCTCCTTATAGCTGAAAGGAAACTGATACAGTTTTTCAAGTAGATAATAACACAGACATTTGGAAGTAACAAAACATTAAAACATTTTAGCTGGTATGTTAAAGGATGATAATATAAAATAATTACATTTTCATATTTTGTGGAATGAGAGGTTGCAACTACACATTCTATTATTTTACCAATTAATAAACTCACAGATTTAAGTAATTCGACTTCATTCCTGAAGTCAGGCAGGGGAACACGAGGAGGGAAAGACTAGGACCACAGTATAAGTTTAAAAGGGGGCTTTATTGCGTTCCCGGGCGAACTTCACGGACCCAAGGTAGGGGTGGGGGAAGCCTCGCCTATTGTCAGGGGAAGGCAGGTTTTTATAGGATGGGAAGAGGGAAACTGGGCTTGCAGGTAAGGTGGAACAGTTGTTTTCTGATGGTATCAGCAGGTCCTCTTTCTGGCCCCTAAGTGGGCTTCCTACCAGATGCATTTTTCGCCCTAGTAACTCTGGTTCCCTCCAGGCCTTTCTGTTCCCTTTTAGCTTCTACACAGAGAACATGCTCTTGCGTCTCTAACTTGCCCAAACAGATGTAGAAATACATGAAATAACCTTTAAATGAAGTTTCTAATTGAAGCACTGGAGCCATAAAGCAGCAACTGTGTTGTACTGGCTTTTACGCTTGAAATCAGAAGCAAAGTAAAAGTGAAAGCAAGGAGTTTCTGCATAATGATCTGATCGCAGTTACATGAACTAAGCTTAATATATTTTTATTGGTTCCTGTTACATTATATACCACCACATGTGACAACAAGAAGCTTTCCCTTCAGCCTGTAATACCTAAAGTTCCAGCAGGCTTTTTACAGCTTGATAATTAACCCAATACAGCTTTATAGACTTCTGCTTTTTCTCTCCTGCTGAAGACAGACTAACGTGACTGACTGACTGAACAACATACAAAGTGAAACTTCCATTAACTAACTTCTGCAGAAATAAAATCTGAACCTTGGAAGACAGCACCTGGTAAGTGAATTCTTTGTCATTAAGATCTCCATATTTTATATAAACCTAAATTCAATGTTGAAGAAGTTAAAGAAGAATGAAAACATTAAATTTTCAAGTATGGATGTTTTATCATGAAAAGAGAAGTATTTGGCAATTGTTATGTCTAGACTCCTATTGCAAAGTCAAAGGATTATCTTTCATATTTAAAATTGTTTTGCACCCCTGGTGGTGCAAGGGGTTAAGCACAGCATAGCACTATGAAGCCATCGTAGCTGGAGTTCAAACCCCGGCTGGCAAGGGAGCTACCCAGGCGCAGCAGACCTCTCCTGCCTTGCCCACTGCTCCCCTCAGCAGTGTATTTCAGTCAATCTACTTGTGAGATCATTAATTGCTTAATTTAGTAAGGAAATATTTACCATTATATTTTTACAAAAATCTAAGAACTTAATGCATTTAATCCAAATATCTCAAGTTAATTAAATTCTGGTAGTTCACATGAATTCTATTTAGGTTAATGCCTATGATTACCAATATAAGATTTTCTCAAAGATAAATGTTTCATAGTTATTCTTTTTAAAAAATATATTTTCCTCAGACACATTAAAATTTATATATTTGAAATTTCTAAGCCAATATACTGAAAATGTGACAATTATGTGTTTAATTTTAATGGTTTATAGATTTATTAGCTATAAACATGAATACTAAAAAAGCTATACTAGACTTGATTGATTTATCTATTTAGACTTGAAAATCATTGCATACCCCAGTTAAAATAAGGTTAATATAGTTGAAACCTTAGACTAGCATAAGAGATTTTGACTACTCAATTGTGTTAGGTGACTCATTTAGTGTTTCATAATATCCTTAGTGTTTAAAGGGTGTTTTTCAATAACAATCAGATTCCTTGTTTTCCCTAAAATGTTAGAAAATCTGTATTTTTGTTCATTGCATATTAAAGAAACTTCCTGTTATGTTCTGAAACTTGACAGAAATAACTGAGAGTTTGAAATTGTTTTCAAAATGAATAGGAAGGAGCTTTCAAAACAACCTTTATAAATTTCAAAATACTTTCAAAGACTGTTGAACCTGGAACTGATTTCAAAGGTAATAGAAAACAAGTTTCAAAAGTAACAAATTTGCAGTACACTTTCAAGGACCTGTGGCTAAGTAGATCCTAAGATGTTCCAGTCTAAGGAATGCAAGTGGGATATAGCAGCCAGCCATCAACTTCAATGAAGAAATGAAAGACATTGACCTTTTTATCCTAACTTCAAAAAAACTCACACTATAGAAGTTATAGATGGGCAAGGAAGAAAAACATTTTGAAGAATAATGTACTCATTGGTTTAAAAACCAAAAATGAATACATATATTTATATTTGTAGATGTGTTTCTGTATTATTAGTTATTATTATATTTCTATCTTTATTGTTAATACTTTATTGATCTGAACTTTGTGTTAAGCATTATTCTAAGCACTTTACTCATTTAATTCTCATAACTATCCAATACAAGGGAACATAAAACAATTGCCATTTTATAAATGAGCTCTTTATAACAAAGAAAGTATACATAAATCATTCAAAAAAAATCACATTTGAAAGCTTCTTTTGAAAGCTTGGCCTCAACCCATATCAACTCCATAAATAATTACTTCCCCAACTAGCTACCCTTTCCTACTTTCGATTTTACAAAATAGGAAACTTTTGTCAATCTATTTTTTTTTCTTCTTTGAATGATATATTTATTGAGGCAATGTTGATTTACATCATAGTATATCTTAGGGGTATAGGTTTGCACCTCTACAAATGTATGTTATTTCAGCACACCCACCACCAAAGCCCCAGTAATTGTCCATTGAATCTTTGCTTCCATCTTATCACATCCCTCTTCTGTAGCCTTAGTCACAGTCCAAGATGTTCTTCCCTCTTCTGTTTTTGTCCCTCCTCCTCTCTCCCCACTTCTCCCTCCCCTCCTAGATACCTCAGATCTATGGTCAGTTTTAAAGATTTGTCTTCATCTGATCTTTGGTTTCTCTATATTCCACAGGTAAGGGAAACCATTTGGTATTTGTTCTTCTCATTCTAACTTACTTCACTTTGTATAATCCCTTCCAGTTCTATCCATGTTGCCATAAATAACATGAGTTTATCTCTTGTTTTTTTTATGGCAGAGTAGTATTCCATTCTGTATATAAACCACATCTTGATGCATTCATCTATTTTGAGGCATTTAGATTGCTTGCATATCTTGGCTGTTGTAAATTGTGTTGCAGTAAACACAGGAGCGCCAGTTTTCTTACCACCAGTATTCTCTGAAGGATAATGACTATTTCTCTGCAGAAGAAATGCTGATCTATTTAAAACTTCACATGAGGGCCTCCCCGGTGGCACAGCAGTTGAGCGCTGGGTTGAGAAGCTGCCCGCTTGCAGCGCCGGTTCGATCCCCGGCTGCTCCCCGGCCACCGGAGGCGGGTCCCACATGGCGCGCAGACCTCTCCTGCCGCCCGCTGCTCCCCTCAGCAGTGTACTTCGGTCCTTCTGCCTGCTCTGCTCCCCGCTCTGGCTCTGGTGAATTCTCTCACTCTCCCCCGCTTCTGACTGTACCCAGTGCTTGTATGTATAAATAAATAAATAAATATTAAAAAAAAAAAAACTTCACATGAAATCATATAGCACTATGGTGACAAGAAAATAAAATCATTACAGAAAGAAATATGAACAAATAAGTAAACAACAAGCAAACAAAAACCACATATACAAACACACACAAACATAAATATATTTTTAATACTGATGCATGTTTCTTATGCTATTCTTAACATGTATTTCATTTAAGTTTACAAATAATCAAAATCTATTATAAAGCAGAGTTGTTTATGTGTCAGAAACTGAGCTGATGATCTCACCAATCTCTTTCTTCCATTGTTATACTACTGGAGAACTGTTTTCCGGATTTTATTAGACCCCAGGGATTCCAAATGAAGAAGAGTATAATTACCTCTTTATCATCATATGCCAGCAATAAAAAGTGCTGACAACAAAAGCTTGCTGACTAGCAAATAACATCCCTATTTCCTATGTACAATTAGTTTCCTGAGGATATCAAAGAATCCCTCAAAGAGGGATACCGTAAAAGAGAATATATGTAACCTTATACTATCTGTTTGAGATGGAAGAGTATTTTTTTAATGCAATTTTCCCCACTTAAAGCCTAAAGTTCTAAAGCACTTATAGGATTAATGGCTTACTCAAGACTGATTAGAAGGCATAGATGACATTTAAAACTTAGACCCATTATATCCTTTTGCATGGGACTCAATGAAAGTTGGAGAATATTTTCCTATGTGAAAGTAGATGTACCTGTTTTATGATTTGAAAGCCTTGAAATTTAAAAAGCATATAAGCCTTGCATTATAATAGTTTACATGCTGATAATATGATAATAATGTAAAAATTATATTAACAATTTTTATGTTAGAAAATATGGTACATCTATACATACATGTAAATTATTTCATTAGTGAGATTGACACATTGATAATGGTGAAAATGACACATTTATTCTATAAAATAGGTATGCTCTGCTAAGATGAAAAATTTTATACTTCAGAAAAAGGGCTTACTTATCTGAAGCTATTTATTTATTTACATATGTATTATTTTTTTGATTGAACTTAATTTTCTTACATTGTTGATCATTTTTGTACCATATTTGATTTTTCCCCTTGGGTACAGTCCCCATAAATCTCCTACCACCCCATCATCTATGAACTATCACAATAGTCCCTTGGGCTCTTCCCTCCCCTATGTTGACCCTTCTCCTCCTCACTGCTGTATGCCTCAAATCTGTAGTTCACCTGCAAATTTTGTCTTTTTTTTTTTGACCCTTTATCAGTTTCCCTATATTCCTCCTATAAGTGAAAGAATCTGATATTTTCTTTTTCCTTCCGACATATTTCACTGAGCATAACCCCTTCCGGCTCCTTCCATGTTGCTGCAAATGGCATGAATTTATCTTTTTCAATTGCTGAATAGTATTCCATTGTGTGTATATATATATATATATATATATATATATATATATATATCACATCTTCTTGATCCATTCATCTGTTTTTGAGCATTTAGGTGGTTGCCATATCTTAGCTATTGTAAATAGTGCTACAATAAACAGAGGAGTGTAGGTTTCCTTTTGAGTTAATGTTTTTGTGTCCTTTGCGTATATTCCTAGGAGTGAAATTGCCTGGTAATATGATAAATCCATTTTTAGTAATTTGAGGATCCTTCACACAGCTTTCCATGCTTGGAAAATTTGCATTTCCACCAATAAGAAGGTTCCTTTTCCTCTACATCCTCACTAGCATTTGTTGCCAATTTTTTTTTAATATGGGCCATTCTCATCAGTGTGTGGTATCTTATTGTGGTTTTGATTTACACTTCCCTCATTATAAGTGATATTGCCACCACATGTTGTGGAGTAGCCTCTTGTCCCTGGTCACAGCCTCCAAGAATACCTTAAAAACTGAAATGTGGACCTTGTCTGTGTCCCTTCTGGTACAGTTGGCCTGGAATTTGATGTCCTAGAGGTGTTCCAGTTTTGCCTGAATCTATGGGACTCTCAGTTCAGCATTCCACTGATTAGCCATTTTGTACACTTTTCATATATTTTTTTATTTTTTAAAGATTTATTTATTTATGCATACAAGAACTGGGGTACAGACCAGAAGTACAGGGGGGTGAAAGGATTCACCAGAGACAGAGTGGGAAGCAAACAGGCAGACTGAATGAAATACACTGCTGATGGGAGCAGCAGGTGAGACAGGAGAGGTCTGCTATGCCATGTGGGTCACTCCCTGGCCACCCGGGGATGTCAAACTCATGTTGCAGAGGCTGCAGATAGCTTCACAGCTCTGTGTTTAAGCCCTTGCACCATCAGGGAGGCCCCTCTCTTTATATTTTAGACAGGTAAAGCATGGCTTAAAATACGAGTAAGTATCTCAGGGTTATACTGAT